AACTTCTAAGAAATGACTATGAACACCATCATCAAGCAAGGTATGATTTTAGGGAGAATTTCCTACCTAGCATCAGCTGGATCAACCACAAATTCAAGCCAACATTCTGAAGTACCCTTGTAAGATCCTTCCTTTCATCAAATATGTAATGGTTGGTTTAACTTGGTGGGTATTTCCTTGGGCTAACTATGTGAACTTGTGTTACTTCATATTATATTTGTGTTGGTTAACTTGTGTTACTTCATATTATATTTGTGTTGGTGAACTTGTGTTACTTCATATTATATTTGTGTTGGTGAACTTGTGTTACTTCATATTATATTTGTGTTGGTGAACTTGTGTTACTTCATATTATATTTGGGTTGGTTAACTTGTGTTACTTCATATTATATTTGGGTTGGTGAACTTGTGTTACTTCATATTATATTTGTGTTGGTGAACTTGTGTTACTTCATATTATATTTGTGTTGGTGAACTTGTGTTACTTCATATTATATTTGTGTTGGTGAACTTGTGTTACTTCATATTATATTTGTGTTGGTTAACTTGTGTTACTTCATATTATATTTGTGTTGGTGAACTTGTGTTACTTCATATTATATTTGTGTTGGTGAACTTGTGTTACTTCATATTATATTTGTGTTGGTGAACTTGTGTTACTTCATATTATATTTGTGTTGGTGAACTTGTGTTACTTCATATTATATTTGTGTTGGTGAACTTGTGTTACTTCATATTATATTTGTGTTGGTGAACTTGTGTTACTTCATATTATATTTGGGTTGGTGAACTTGTGTTACTTCATATTATATTTGTGTTGGTTAACTTGTGTTACTTCATATTATATTTGGGTTGGTGAACTTGTGTTACTTCATATTATATTTGTGTTGGTGAACTTGTGTTACTTCATATTATATTTGGGTTGGTGAACTTGTGTTACTTCATATTATATTTGGGTTGGTGAACTTGTGTTACTTCATATTATATTTGTGTTGGTGAACTTGTGTTACTTCATATTATATTTGGGTTGGTGAACTTGTGTTACTTCATATTATATTTGGGTTGGTGAACTTGTGTTACTTCATATTATATTTGTGTTGGTGAACTTGTGTTACTTCATATTATATTTGTGTTGGTGAACTTGTGTTACTTCATATTATATTTGTGTTGGTGAACTTGTGTTACTTCATATTATATTTGTGTTGGTGAACTTGTGTTACTTCATATTATATTTGTGTTGGTGAACTTGTGTTACTTCATATTATATTTGGGTTGGTGAACTTGTGTTACTTCATATTATATTTGTGTTGGTGAACTTGTGTTACTTCATATTATATTTGTGTTGGTGAACTTGTGTTACTTCATATTATATTTGGGTTGGTTAACTTGTGTTACTTCATATTATATTTGGGTTGGTTAACTTGTGTTACTTCATATTATATTTGTGTTGGTGAACTTGTGTTACTTCATATTATATTTGTGTTGGTGAACTTGTGTTACTTCATATTATATTTGGGTTGGTTAACTTGTGTTACTTCATATTATATTTGGGTTGGTGAACTTGTGTTACTTCATATTATATTTGGGTTGGTGAACTTGTGTTACTTCATATTATATTTGTGTTGGTGAACTTGTGTTACTTCATATTATATTTGTGTTGGTGAACTTGTGTTACTTCATATTATATTTGGGTTGGTTAACTTGTGTTACTTCATATTATATTTGTGTTGGTGAACTTGTGTTACTTCATATTATATTTGTGTTGGTGAACTTGTGTTACTTCATATTATATTTGGGTTGGTTAACTTGTGTTACTTCATATTATATTTGTGTTGGTGAACTTGTGTTACTTCATATTATATTTGGGTTGGTTAACTTGTGTTACTTCATATTATATTTGTGTTGGTGAACTTGTGTTACTTCATATTATATTTGTGTTGGTGAACTTGTGTTACTTCATATTATATTTGGGTTGGTTAACTTGTGTTACTTCATATTATATTTGGGTTGGTGAACTTGTGTTACTTCATATTATATTTGTGTTGGTGAACTTGTGTTACTTCATATTATATTTGGGTTGGTTAACTTGTGTTACTTCATATTATATTTGGGTTGGTGAACTTGTGTTACTTCATATTATATTTGGGTTGGTGAACTTGTGTTACTTCATATTATATTTGTGTTGGTGAACTTGTGTTACTTCATATTATATTTGTGTTGGTGAACTTGGTGAATATTTGTGTTGGTGAACTTGTGTTACTTCATATTATATTTGTGTTGGTGAACTTGGTGAATATTTGTGTTGGTGAACTTGGTGAATATTTGTGTTGGTTAACTTAGTGAACATTTGGGTTGGTTGACTTGGTGAACATTTGGGTTGGTTAACTTGGTGAACATTTGAATTGGTTGACTTGGTGAACATTTGGGTTGGTTTACTTGGTGAACATTTGTGTTGGTTAACTTGGTGAACAATTGGGTTTGTTGACTTGGTGAACATTTGGGTTGGTTAACTTGGTGAACATTTGGGGTTGGTGAACTTGGTGAACATTTTGATTGGTTAACTTGGAAAATATTTGGGTTGGTAAACTTGGTGAACATTTGTGTTGGTTAACTTGGTGAACATTTGGGTTAGTGAACTTGGTGAACATTTGGGTTAGTGAACTTGGTGAACATTTGTGTTGGTGAACTTGGTGAACATTTGTGTTGGTGAACTTGGTGAATATTTGGATTGGTTAACTTGGAAAATATTTGGGTTGGTGAACTTGGTGAACATTTGTGTTGGTTAACTTGGAAAATATTTGGATTGGTGAACTTGGCGAACATTTGTGTTGATTGACTTGGTGAACATTTGGGTTGGTGAACTTGGTGAACATTTGGATTGGTTAACTTGGAAAATATTTGGGTTGGTTAACGTGGAAAATATTTTGGTTGGTAAACTTGGCGAACATTTGTGTTGATTAACTTGGTGAACATTTGGGTTGGTGAACTTGGTGAACATTTGGATTGGTTAACTTGGTGGACATTTCGGTTGGTGAACTTGGTGAACATTTGGATTGGTTAACTTGGTGAACATTTGTGTTGGTTGACTTGATGAACATTTGGGTTGGTTGACTTGGTGAACATATGGATTGGTTAACTTGGTGGACATTTGGGTTGGTGAACTTGGTGAACATTTGGATTGGTTAACTTGGTGAACATTTGTGTTGGTTGACTTGATGAACATTTGGGTTGGTTGACTTGAGGAACATTTGGATTGGTTAACTTGGTGAACATTTGGGTTGGTGAACTTGGTGAACATTTGGATTGGTTAACTTGGAAAATATTTGGGTTGGTTAACTTGGTTAACATTTGGATTGGTTAACTTTGCGAACATTGGGTTTGGTTAAGTTGGTGAGTATTTGGGTTAGTTAACGTGGTGAGTATTTGGGTTAGTTAACTTTGTGAACAATTGGGTTGGTAAACTTGGTGAACATTCGGGTTGGTTACTTTTGTGAATATTTGGGTTAGTTAACTTGGTGAACATTCGGGTTGGGCTGACCTTATTTGGTTGTTGAACCACATGGTATAAAAGATGATATCGCTCTCTGTCATCAACACATGACACATGACTGAATGTTCAATCTGTTAGCTGAATCACATGAGAAGTTTGACTTCCTTTTGAGCAATAAGGACACCCTGATTAAGATTCCAGTTACCGTTTATCTTCCCCTCGTGATTTAATGTGGCTGGTCCATAATCTCCATATCATTTACCATGCTGACTGCATTACCTCCCATCCAATCATATGATATTCAGATTCTCTCTAGAAAGTGTGAGCATCCACACAGATGACACATCATGCCTCCTGATGGGTGCTCTACTGCAGGAAGCAAAGTCAGTAGGTCACAGAGTCAGTCACAGTCACAGAGTCGGTCACAGTCACAGAGGCTGTCTCAGAGTCTTGATGACAGAGTCACAGAGGCTGTCTCAGAGTCTTGATGACAGAGTCACAGAGGCTGTCACAGAGTCAAAGAGGATGTCTCAGGGTCGGTCACAGTCACAGAGGCTGTCTCAGGGTCGGTCACAGTCACAGAGTCAGTCACAGAGGCTGTCTCAGGGTCGGACACAGTCACAGAGTCAGTCACAGAGGCTGTCTCAGGGTCAGTCACAGAGGCTGTCTCAGGGTCGGACACAGTCACAGAGTCAGTCACAGAGGCTGTCTCAGAGTCAGTCACAAATTTGGTTGCAGCTGTGACAAGTTACTGTAATATCTTCTCAAAATTGGTTTGAATGCTGACTTTGTTTGAAGAAAAAAGTCCGAATTGATGGAGTTGTCACCAAAGTGGCTGTTGACATGCAGCCATATTCCCCTTTGTTGAAACCAATTTTTGTATGCATATAGTATGTAATATTGTCCAACAATATCCCCAACAAAGACAACTCTACAAACAGGTACAAAACAGCACATCATCAAGATTCTCACGAGTTTGAATGATTTGTCCATGAAATTGTGGGGAATACAGTTACAAAAAATAGTTGAAGGAAATGCCCTTAATGAAAAGGTTTTTAAACCTTAAAGATCCATAACAATGTTGTTATAGTGTGCGTCATTGTCAACCTAAAGTACACGTTCAGACAGACAGATACTACAGGAAAATCCTAAGCCCCCTTAATTTTGAACACGGCAGCAGGGTTATAATAACCCCTTCTCCCAAACTCTACCAAATCATGTCCATTATGTTTGTTGTTAACCACCACTCAGCAATATTCCAGCTATATGATGGCGGTCTGTAAACAATCAAGTCATGACCAGACAATCCTGTGATTGACATCATGAGCATTGATCTATGCAATCGGGATACGATGACATGCATCAAACAAGTCAGTGAGTATGGCCATCCGACCCTCTCAGTCGCCTCTTACGACAAGCATGGGCTCCTGAAGACCTATTCTAACCAAGATCTTCACAGGTCCAAATTCTGTCAAAGCTGCTCAACACCTGAGTATTTAAACACACATACCACAAAGGGAGGTAATGCTGCTGCTCTCTTCATGCACAAACTTCCGTGTGACTGCCTCTTCCATGATCTGCTTCACCTAAGAAAACAATTAAAAAGATTCGTAACCACAGTTATGGTTCAATACCCACATAACCATAAATGTTTTCAAATACCAAGATGAAATGTTATGACAGATGATCACTTTCGCCCGTTCACTGCAGTTACTTTAGAACTCGCAATACCAGATGGTTCAGGTAAAGAATTCTAGACCACAGATTTCTGATTAGTATATAGTAACATTTTCTTTCGAAGATGACAAACCTATGTCATGACAACAAGTCCACATGAAAGTGTTAATGAGAGGTGGGGTAGGGGGATATCTGAAGTGTTGTGGGTAGTGTTGATGAAATGTTTCAAACTATTTTGGATCCTTTAACAATCCTATCTGATCTCTGCACGAAAACTGCAAAATCCGCAATCCCCAGATCCTTGTTCAGCAAAACATGGTGGAAGGATGCAATGTTACAGTTCAACTTATACTAATCAGACATTAAGTGTGATCACTGTAATCTACATCTCTGTTACTGAAACATCTACCACATCAATCATGTCAAAAGCACTCCCAATATTTATTTTTCATACAAGAAATATTCAGGGTTAAATGATAAAAGGATTGGGGTTATATATCAGAGACAATTCATGCAGGTTATCTTTTAATTTTTTGGCCCTTATTTAATCAGTCAGTGTTCAGTAATGTCCTTGCTTAATTAAATAATGTTCAGAATGTTCAGAGAGAGAAAAAAAATCAATAATCAATAGAAAATGAAAATACAATGAAACCAATCAATAATTCACCATGTGTGCCTCAGTGACAGTTAATGCCAAAGAGTGAAATGATATGCCAAATTCTCAGTCTATTATTGACAAATGAAAGAAAACACACAAACAACTTCGTAAGCAGCTCGCATGCATATGGGCCAGAATATTATTGACAATTGTGAAACATCCACGGTGAGTGGAGTCTTTATCTTAGTAGAGTAGCTTAATACCATTTGAACTTATGGCATTTGATCATATGCAAGCGTGACATTTACCAATAAACACAGAAAAACATGAAAATGTGGCATTTACAAACTCGCAGGAATTAATGATAATAAATTATGAACACAATAATTATGATTATAGGTTTGACAGTGAAGCTTACCTCCTTTTTGACTGCACGAAGCAGACTTTGTCTTGTCTCGGGATCCGGGGTCGACATTGTGACTGTCAGGACAAAGTTGTGTGAAATGATCAAATGATAACCCCGAATAAACAAATAAAACACTCCTTTCCCCGATCACCGAATACACCGACACCACTTCATTTTGACATTTCCTCCTCCGCACGTTTTGACCAAACAACTACCCACAGTACCATGTGACGCTGATAAAAATAGTTCACTTATTAAAGCTTATTTCGGATATGTTTGCCACTATGGATCGAAACTATTTACGACAGGCATGCACAACATATGCAGCTAGCGTCAAATTATCGTCTCGTATGTACCAGTATGTAGCTTCGTATTGATTAATGAGAATATTGTGTATCCTTGGGCGGAAGTTATCATGTTGATGTCTGCACTGAAATATTTTGCATAATTAAAACTTTTATTATTTTGTTCATTCATGTTTTTGTTCACTGTAAATAATTAAAAAATATTTTTCTTCTTCACTTGGAATCAATAAAGAAACTTCTATACACGTTGTTTTATTTCAGCAGAAATTATTCCTGCAAGGGAGCGTGCCTTGTAGTGAAAATTATAAAGGAAAGCAATGATATTTACCTTCACCATATCTAAAATATATTCAAACCAACTTTTTCAAATATATTTATGTTAACAGTATACCACACAATAACATAATCTATTTAATATTAGAGACACTTGGTCTTACAAGCATTTGGTATTCATTGATAGATCCCCGAGTGCATCTGCAAAATGGCTGCCGGAGGAGCTCATTTGAGCTCTGGGAAAATTAATTTAAGTCTGTTACGAGATTTCTACCGTCGTGAATTCTTAGAATGCTTGGACAAATGTTTAGGAACAAAGGTATTGTGTGATTTATCTGAAGTTGTGTATGTCACATCCTTTGCATAATGGCGCAGCGCATAATTTTGAACTCAAAGAACAGGAAATAGAAAAATTCGTCTGCTGCAACACCCGCCCACTTATCGGTAGAAGTGTCAGCGATGATCAATAGTTGTCATTGCGCTGCCAGAGTGGAATCGGCCGATAGTATGAAGACAAACTATACAACATTAGTAGACATTAATCAGGATGTGGACTATGCCACAAGTTATCTCCATTAGGTTTTTAGGTCGTTCTTATTATTCTACATCTCATGTTAACAGAGAAGTGTTATCTTTGACGCATGGTTTACACCAAGACAACAATGCAGTTTACCGGCCGCAGCCCGAGCTCTACCATCCGCTCAATTACCGCGCTATAGTGCCACCGCTGTCTCGTTATACCGTTACCGTGCCTCACGCTCTGGTGACTCTTGCTTCACGATCCAACACCCGTTTTCGGTCTTAGGGAAACTTACACATCTTTACAATCAAACACCCATTCTCGGTCTTAGGGAAACTTACACGTCTTTACGATCCAACACCCGTTTTCGGTCTTAGGGAAACTTACACGTCTTTACGATCCAAAACCCCTTTTCGGTCATTAGGGTTAGCTTGCTTTGGGCAAGGGTTAGCCATAAATTCTTACCTTTTCAAGCGTTAATCCGGTTAATCCCATTGGTCGGTCACGTTGACATAAACAATTGCGGGTGTGGTTTCAAGAAAAGATGAATGGGAGAGCGGACCTTGACGTCACACGCATGCGCAATTCATTGTTTACTGAATTACGCATGCATGTCAATGGGGATTCTAATGACCCGTTAAACGAGCACTGATTACATGTGATAGCGCCTGTGGTCCAGTGGTAGAGCGTCGGCTAATTAACGCATTAATTAGCAGAGCCGGTGAGCCGGCGAAGCGTGTTCGAGCCCCCACAGTGCTAATTGGATCTGAAAAAGTGTGCCCGGTAAAGTGCACTACTCCCTACACCAAAATTGAAATAAATTTCATGACTGGCAATCTAGTTCAATCAAAGAGATAAAATCTCATCTCCAAAGACTGCCTTAGCCATGCTATGACTGATATCCCTTTAAAGGATCGAATCTTAGCACAGGCAGTGAGCAGTATTGGCCTAACTTTAGAATGCAGTACCACAAACTTTTCAAACACGTCACTTTACCCTATGACGTAATTTGTAGTATTTTGTTGCCAGTCACGCCTCCAAAACAATGCCCTGTGACATCAGGGGTCATCAAGTGTGCATAAGCTCCTTCCAGTGATCTATGATCTCTACACACAATGTCATTGAAAAAGGCCAGAGATGTTGAGAGTTTCTAATATTTGTTTACTAAATATAGTCTGCAGCGTCTTATTTTACAGCAAGCGCTAGCTTTTGAAAGCACTTTTATTTTCAATATGTTTCTTATTTCGCTTTTTAATATTGGTGCTGAACACATCCAAATTTCACCAGTGTAGGGGTAGGTTACCCTGAACTCTGTCCTTACAATCATTTGGGTTAAGTGGCTATTATAGATACTATAGTGGTTCCTAATATTCTTCACACCAAAACGTCGAGAAAGCAGGGTGAAATGGTTTAGTGTTGAATATTTTGGCTGCTAGAAACTGTCCTAGAACATACACACAAGCCACTTTCACCCAGTACATTTATTTAGTACTGATTCAAAGGCCAACTCACCCTTGTGTCGTCACTGGCCATGCTCATGCCTCCCTCGTTCCTTACAATGATCCACATTATCCTAACACTGTTCCCTACCACCACTTTTCTGTCACAAAAATCACCCGTCGAAGTATTAAATACCATGTCATTCATTCCAACCCGCAAGTTCAACGTCTGACGCCAGAGTCATTTCAGTTTGTGCCATATCGGCTCATTCCTCACCGCTTGGTATCTTGTAGATTACGGAATGGGATGAGTGTGCCAAATGGCATCAGGATTACTGGTAAGTGTCCGTAGACTAAAGTCACAGGACACCATGCCTACCCTCAACCTTTGTAAGTGTCCGTCACATATTCGACCCTTTTTGGTCAATTCCGTAACAGTCGTTTAGCTGTCAGGCAAACAATCCGAAGGTCGCAAGGCGCATCTGACGGAGTCTTACAAAACCTGGTTGCTTGTCCTTAAGACACATGACCTACGGCAGAGATCATCCTCACATGAAGTTGTCGTACTGTATTCTAAAGTTGTTCCACAGTATTTGGCGTGTTTAATAAACCTGCGCTCAGACTATCGTCTAAGTTGACCATGATGTCACTATATAACAATCTCATGACCAAACCTCTTGCAGGCACCAATTATTTCAAATACTCACTCCAATATGTAACCAGTTACCTTTGGGAATTTGGACTTCAATTCTGTGTTGTTTGGCTAGGTATCAATGTTAGTTCACTTATGCTTCTATCCCTGTAGGTTAAAATTATGTGACTGTTAACAATCTGCTGCCTCACAACAGCTTGGGTTGTATACTTTCTCAGGGAGCTGAGAATTAAAATCCAGTGCACACCGATCCATTGGCCAGTTTAATAATAATAATGTTGTGCATTGAGCATACATTCCATGTGGAGTTGTGGACTTTAAAAGCAGATTGTTGTTGTTGTTGTTGTTGTTTTGTTGTTGTTTTTTGTTGTTGTCGTCGTCCAGGGGTTATCAGATAAGTTGATTATGGTTTACATGAGCAACAGTGTAATAACTAGGGAAGGAATAGTATTAGAAGTTGCACAAACAGTTCCATACTATTTATTTCCATACTATCAACGTGTATTTCAGGCTCTTGTGTGGGATGATGCATTGACAGGACCATTTGGACTTATAGCTGAATACTCACTTCTAAAGGTAAAGAGGCTAAACTAAATATGTTCACACGCTTTTATAACATTAATTTCATATTCCTCTGTATACCTATGTCATTTAAGTAATTGTTTTAGTTTGAGCAAACATTATGATGAATTGTTCTTACAGTTTAAAATTTCATAATTATTACCTCCAGGATTTGGTGTATTGAAAATGTTGCAATTAATCTTATCTTTGTAAAGAAATTCAGTTGTGAGACCACATTTGGGTATTCCAGGTTAGAATAGATCCACAGCAGTCTATGCTGGTTGTGAGCGGTGACCAAATGGATCAGGTGGTCAGACTTGGCTGATTTCATGGATTATTGCGCTAAACATTGATCACTGGATTGTCTGGTCCAGATCCATTTACAGGCCGCTGTCATCTGGCTGGAATATTACTAAGTGTGATGTTAGGCAACAAACAAACTATGAATTACAATGCAATGATAGGATTGCTATTTTCATCACAAATACTACTGACCATTTAACAAGGCTTTGTTTTGTTTTTCTCAAGGAGCATGAGGTGGAGAAGATGTTCCCGCTACGGTCAACAGGCCTTCCTAAGAACAATGTGCAGAATGTGTTGTTTATAACCAGACCAAAACTGCATTTAATGGAGATGATCTCACAAAATATCCTGCAGTCAGTATAGTTTTCTCATTTAGAGTATGAAAGAATTTCTGTTCGGTCCTGTTTCACAAAGTCCTATGTTTAATTATGGGAGCTATGGCACTATAAACAGCCCTAGTATGTACATGTGTTATACATGTGAATATTGTGTATAAGAGTGCTCTGTACTGACTCTGCAATTTTGTCCTCTCCCACCGATCAGTGATTGCTAAGGGTCATATCTTCAAAGGTATGTTTTTAACATCAAACTACAAGTCAAGCAAGAGCCGTTTTATGACTGGTATTGTTAGATATCACTTAATCCGTAATATTACTCTTGGACTCTATGCATTACATAAGGAAAAGCTTTAATTGAATCCTTTGGTAAATAAAGATCTGTGGATTAATAAAATGCACGGTGACCATATGCATCCTTTTGGTTTGAACAGAAGCTTCAACATCATTGAAATATGTAAATGTGTATAATATTTGTAATCCATTCTCATACAGTAAATTGTCAACTATTGTATACATGTGGTACTATTGGCCTTTAAGCTACATATACCAATAAACTGTCTGTCTGTCTGTCTCTGTTAATTTGTCCAATTTGATTGAAACCCCACATAAACATGTAAATGATTTCTATTACAGAGAAGAGCAACAAGGTGGCTTTAGAAAAGAATATTACCTGGTGTTTGTCCCTCGCAAGAGCCTCCTGTGTGAGAAGAAATTAAAGGTATTACTGTACAGCTACTTCTCATCTTGTGATATTTAAACATTGAAATGAAACAATGTAGATGATCATTACCTTGTAGCAACATCATTGATGCATTTCATTCACAAAATTTGCAAACCTCACTTTTCTCTCTTGTCATACTGTATTATCCTGTATGATCAAGATGATAACGGTAGGATTTATAAACTTAGCGCTGTTGTGCTTAATTAAAAGTATGTACGGCAGGCTAGGCCCGCAAGCTGATTGGTATCACCACCAGCAGGGTATAGAATATACGGGATTCTTTCGTTAGGTAGGGGGAGACCTGTGTTGCATATATAATACCAGTATGGCTTGTGGGGGCTTGTCAAGTAACCTTGATTTAACATGAATTATATAATTTTAACATTGTAGGATAATTTTCCCTTTCAATTTTAGGTGAGTGAGTTCCACCACCCCTACCTCCCCCCCCGTAACTTTTGTAGGTCATTGATTCGCGCATGTAGGGGTTCACTTGTATTTCTAATTCAGAAATCACCAAATCATCTTCCAAGACACATTCACATTCCATGATAACTCGTAAACGTGTGTCACAGTCAGAGTCGGACAGATCAGCCAATATTTTAAACAAAGAAAAGTGTTGCAACAAAGTCAGTGTAATGAGTACCGTAACATGAACAATAAATGCAACTGAACAAATAGCATGTTTCGCTCATCATTTTCTCACCGAATATTGACCGAGAACGAAGCTATGGTAGCAAATGGGCCCAGGGTACTTGACAGTGTATGTCTGTTGCAGGAGATTGGAGTGTACGGGTCCTTCACCAGTGTGGAGGAGTTTAATCTGGAGCTGATACCGTTCGACTACGATCTGCTCTCAATGGAGATGGACAACACGTTTAGGGTAGGCTACCTCCCTCACAAGGGATGCAATTAGCGTTGTTGATAAATACCAACCTTGTTTTTAAGATATTTTTTTATAAATGTGAAGTTCACATGATGTATAGTTTTTCAATTGGAGAAGGGCGCTGGAGTGATACGCTCTATTCATGAGCCATCATTCTAGAAACAAAGTAAACACTGTCCAACTACTCCCAGACTCCTATACGACGTTTGACATGTCGTAAGTCTATGTTGAAGTATGGGTGTCACGATCATCTTAATGCTACGAGTGTCATAAGTTTATGTTGAAGTATGGGAGTTACAGTCGTCTCAAAGCTAACATTACTTTGTGGAACAGGTCCCTGAGGAAAGATAGGGTATTATCAACATCTGATGTTCACATAGTTAGGCTGTCAGTCTATGAAGGTTTATACTCCTATGAACTTAAACGAAGTGCACGTCAATTCTTAACTGAGAAGTTAATGAAAGCAAAAGTAATGTGGATCATGTTCTTATTAATCATACTGTAATTTGTTCAGCTTATCAGCAAACACGTGACGATCCCTCAAGATGCAGCCAGCTGTATACAATATTTATTAATGGCTAAATTGATCATGCTTATCATAATGTGAAATCTTTAGTTTGACTTCTTTTCGTCTTGTTAGACTCCTAGATGTGTAATATATGACATGCAGATTGTGAAGATCGGAATAAATAAGAAGCTCCATTGCGTAGAGTACAGTTTATGGCTTGAGTCTGGACTTATCTAGAGTTGACTCTACAATACAAATGGTTTCCACAGATGTATACGGCCATTGGCTGGGTCCCATGAAGAGTGATGCTACAATACAAATGGTTTCCACAGATGTATACGGCCATTGGCTGGGTCCCATGAAGAGTGACTGTACGGTACAAATGGTTTCCACAGATGTATACGACCATTGGCTGGGTCCCATGAAGAGTGACGCTACAATACAAATGGTTTCCACAGATGTATACGACCATTGGCTGGGTCCCATGAAGAGTGACGCTACAATACAAATGGTTTCCACAGATGTATACGGCCATTGGCTGGGTCCCATGAAGAGTGACTGTACGGTACAAATGGTTTCCACAGATGTATACGACCATTGGCTGGGTCCCATGAAGAGTGACGCTACAATACAAATGGTTTCCACAGATGTATACGACCATTGGCTGGGTCCCATGAAGAGTGACTGTACGGTACAAATGGTTTCCACAGATGTATACGACCATTGGCTGGGTCCCATGAAGAGTGACGCTACAATACAAATGGTTTCCACAGATGTATACGACCATTGGCTGGGTCCCATGAAGAGTGACGCTACAATACAAATGGTTTCCACAGATGTATACGGCCATTGGCTGGGTCCCATGAAGAGTGACGCTACAATACAAATGGTTTCCACAGATGTATACGACCATTGGCTGGGTCCCATGAAGAGTGACTCTACAATACAAATGGTTTCCACAGATGTATACGACCATTGGCTGGGTCCTATGAAGAGTGACGCTACAACACAAATTGTTTCCACAGATGTATACGGCCATTGGCTGGGTCCCATGAAGAGTGACGCTACAATACAAATTGTTTCCACAGATGTATACGACCATTGGCTGGGTCCCATGAAGAGTGACTGTACGGTACAAATGGTTTCCACAGATGTATACGACCATTGGCTGGGTCCCATGAAGAGTGACGCTACAATACAAATGGTTTCCACAGATGTATACGGCCATTGGCTGGGTCCCATGAAGAGTGACGCTACAATACAAATGGTTTCCACAGATGTATACGGCCATTGGCTGGGTCCCATGAAGAGTGACGCTACAATACAAATGGTTTCCACAGATGTATACGGCCATTGGCTGGGTCCCATGAAGAGTGACGCTACAATACAAATGGTTTCCACAGATGTATACGGCCATTGGCTGGGTCCCATGAAGAGTGACTCTACAATACAGATTTTTCCATCACAAGGGATAAATATTATAGTGTCAAAACAGTCAAGGACCTTTTTAGTCAAGTTAATTCTCATTTAGTATTGCACTTTTTAAAGGAAATTGATTTAATACATAAATTTTGATGTACATAATATGTTTTTATATATTGGTAGTGCTAATATATAACTTAGATTGTTAGTGGCTGTACCCTCGAGGGGGGTTGAAGTAGCGTAAAATTATTGTCCCCCTAAGAGGGTATGTAAGTCCCACATCATTCAATGTATTGTTATGCATACCAGAATTTTAAAACGTAGTATTTTTGTCATTTTAATCTAAGGCTTAACTGGTCAACTATCGCCAGTGACTGAAGGACTGATATAAATCCAGCCAGGGTCCATGCAGGAAGCAAAGGCACTGTAAGTCCCCATGGTCCCTGGTATGGTGTTCTCCCTTTAGTTACTGACGATCTCTAGCCCATTTTTATATTGTGTTGTTAATTCTTTCTGCTTTTATATGTTCCTCAACTAGTTTTAATACACTTTGTGATATTCTAGTTATTGTACTGTCCTTTGCTGACAGGTTTTTTATAAATTATGTATACTTATTTGTTATTAATGTATTAATTCTCGTCACGATATGGCTGAAATATTGCCCATGTGACGTTAAATAATAACTCACTCACTCACTCACTCACTCACTACAATACAAATGGTTTCCACAGATGTATACGACCATTGGCTGGGTCCCATGAAGAGTGAGGCTACAATACAAATGGTTTCCACAGATGTATACGACCATTGGCTGGGTCCCATGAAGAGTGACTCTACAATACAAATGGTTTCCACAGATGTATACGGCCATTGGCTGGGTCCCATGAAGAGTGACGCTACAATACAAATGGTTTCCACAGATGTATACGGCCATTGGCTGGGTCCCATGAAGAGTGACGCTACAATACAAATGGTTTCCACAGATGTATACGGCCATTGGCTGGGTCCCATGAAGAGTGACGCTACAATACAAATGGTTTCCACAGATGTATACGACCATTGGCTGGGTCCCATGAAGAGTGACTCTACAATACAAATGGTTTCCACAGATGTATACGACCATTGGCTGGGTCCCATGAAGAGTGACGCTACAATACAAATGGTTTCCACAGATGTATACAGCCATTGGCTGGGTCCCATGAAGAGTGACGCTACAATACAAATTGTTTCCACAGATGTATACGACCATTGGCTGGGTCCCATGAAGAGTGACGCTACAATACAAATGGTTTCCACAGATGTATACGGCCATTGGCTGGGTCCCATGAAGAGTGACGCTACAGTACAAATGGTTTCCACAGATGTATACGACCATTGGCTGGGTCCCATGAAGAGTGACGCTACAATACAAATGGTTTCCACAGATGTATACGGCCATTGGCTGGGTCCCATGAAGAGTGATGCTACAATACAAATGGTTTCCACAGATGTATACGGCCATTGGCTGGGTCCCATGAAGAGTGACGCTACAATACAAATGGTTTCCACAGATGTATACGGCCATTGGCTGGGTCCCATGAAGAGTGACGCTACAATACAAATGGTTTCCACAGATGTATACAGCCATTGGCTGGGTCCCATGAAGAGTGACGCTACAATACAAATGGTTTCCACAGATGTATACGGCCATTGGCTGGGTCCCATGAAGAGTGACGCTACAGTACAAATGGTTTCCACAGATGTATACGACCATTGGCTGGGTCCCATGAAGAGTGACGCTACAATACAAATGGTTTCCACAGATGTATACGGCCATTGGCTGGGTCCCATGAAGAGTGATGCTACAATACAAATGGTTTCCACAGATGTATACGGCCATTGGCTGGGTCCCATGAAGAGTGACGCTACAATACAAATGGTTTCCACAGATGTATACGGCCATTGGCTGGGTCCCATGAAGAGTGACGCTACAATACAAATGGTTTCCACAGATGTATACAGCCATTGGCTGGGTCCCATGAAGAGTGACGCTACAATACAAATGATTTCCACAGATGTATACGACCATTGGCTGGGTCCCATGAAGAGTGACGCTACAATACAAATGGTTTCCACAGATGTATATGGCCATTGGCTGGGTCCCATGAAGAGTGACTGTACGGTACAAACTGTTTTCACTGTTCCAGGACTGTTACCTAGACAATGACTTCACCTCCATGTACTACGCGGCACAGTCGCTGATGACGCTGCAGGCGCTATACGGGACAATACCTTACATCCATGGCAAGGGGGACTGTGCTAAGGTAGGTAGATATCTGTTCAAGGACATGCCACTCAAAATGTCTATCTGGTAGAAGTCTTATAATTGTACTGAACACTAGATGAAGTTCTCAGAAGCCTTCAATATTTGTCTTCTGGGGGAATGAACGCAGAACACAAGGGGCACTGAGCTGTGTATATTTGTGTTGTAGGGGAATTAATGCAGAACACTAGGGGCATTGAGCTGTGTATATTTGTGTTCTGGGGGAATGAACGCACAACACAAGGGGCACTGAACTGTGTATTTGTGTTGTAGGGGAATGGACACAGTATTCAAGGGGCACTGAGCTGTGTATATTTGTGTTGTAGGGGAATGGACACAGAACACATGGGGCACTGAGCTGTGTATATTTGTGTTGTAGGGGAATGGACACAGTATTCAAGGGGCACTGAGCTGTGTATATTTGTGTTGTAGGGCAATGGACACAGAACACAAGGGGCACTGAGCTGTGTATATTTGTGTCGTAGGGGAATGGACACAGAACACAAGGGGCACTGAGCTGTGTATATTTGTGTTGTAGGGGAATGAACACAGAACACAAGGGGCACTGAGCTGTGTATATTTGTGTCGTAGGGGAATGAACTCAGAACACAATGGACACTGTGCTGTGTATATTTGTGTTGTAGGGGAATGGATACATAACACAAGGGGCACTGAGCTGTGTATATTTGTGTTGTAGGGGAATGGACACAGAACACAAGGGACACTGAGCTGTGTATATTTGTGTTGTAGGGGAATGGACACAGTATTCAAGGGGCACTGAGCTGTGTATATTTGTGTTGTAGGGGAATGGACACAGAACACATGGGGCACTGAGCTGTGTATATTTGTGTTGTAGGGGAATGGACACAGTATTCAAGGGGCACTGAGCTGTGTATATTTGTGTTGTAGGGCAATGGACACAGAACACAAGGGGCACTGAGCTGTGTATATTTGTGTCGTAGGGGAATGGACACAGAACACAAGGGGCACTGAGCTGTGTATATTTGTGTTGTAGGGGAATGAACACAGAACACAAGGGGCACTGAGCTGTGTATATTTATGTTGTAGGGGAATGGACACAGAACACAAGGGGCACTGAGCTGTGTATATTTGTGTTGTAGGGGAATGGACACACTACACTAGGGGCATTGTGCTGTATATTTGTGTTGTAGGGGAATGGACACAGAACACAATGGACACTGTGCTGTGTATTTGTGTTGTAGGGGAATGAACACAGAACACAAGGGGCACTGAGCTGTATATTTGTGTTGTAGGGGAATGGACACAGAACACAAGGGGCACTGAGCTGTGTATATTTGTGTTGTAGGGGAATGGACACAGAACACAAGGGGCACTGAGCTGTGTATTTGTGTTGTAGGGGAATGGACACAGAACACAAGGGGCACTGTGCTGTGTATATTTGTGTTGTAGGGGAATGAACACAGAACACAATGGACACTGTGCTGTGTATATTTGTGTTGTAGGGGAATGAACACAGAACACAAGGGACACTGTGCTGTGTATATTTGTGTTGTAGGGGAATGAACACAGAACACAAGGGGCACTGAGCTGTGTATTTGTGTTTCAGAATGTGGTGGACATGATGCGTCGGATGAAGGGCGAGCTGAGCGGGCGTGAACCGCAGATCACCCCCCAGATAGACAACCTCCTCATCTTGGACCGCACCGTCGACCTCCTCACTCCCCTCTTGTCACAGCTCACTTACGAAGGCCTCATTGATGAGGTGTTTGGCCTCAGTAACAGTAGGTTGCTTTCCAAGCTCCTGTCTCTTTGAAAGCCTTAAACTTTGCATTTACGATATTCTTTCAAATATATCAAAGAAAAGTTTTTTTAACAAGCGTTACAAATACTTCAATATCAGTAAAATGTACACAAACCAGAGTGCTGTGATAAGTTTGTTAACCAGCAAATAGACTTATTTTCAATTGAGACAAGTTGAATTTGGAATGGGAGATACAACTATATCAATTCATATGTTGTAAATCTGTCCAAAATGCCCTTGTAAGCTTCAGCTGGTATGGAGCCTTATAAGAAACATGTTATTGTGATTTGAAACCTCTTATCGTGATTAACAAATGATAATTGGTTAATTGGTTGTCTCTCCTAATCATGGATAGACTTCAAATGAAAGATGAATTTCTGAAAATTAGGCAATGCTATCTGTCCTTGAAAATTCTTCATTTTGAACTGATTTACTTCTATTGCCCTTGAGCTGTGGATTGAGCCATGCTATACAGTAGTTGCAGTGGCTGTTGTCTGATTGTAGCAAGTGTCAAACTGCCACCAGAGAAGTTCTCCCAGAAGAAGGAGGATGGGTCAGGTCCCTCAGATGTCCCATCTGAACCAAAGAAAATCATTCTCAACTCTGGAGATGAACTGTACGCAGATCTGAGAGACAAGAACTTCAATGCTGTCGGTGCTGTTGTCAGCCGCAAAGCTAAAGTCATCACTGCGGAATTTGATGTAAGTACAGCTTTAGGCTAGAATACGTGCTGGTATGTTGTATGTGGTAGTGTCCTGGGTCTAGTGCTATACATGCAGCCCAGTCTGTCAACTACGCTATGTATGGATGCAGTGTTGCACGTTGTAGCAGGTTTCTTATCCTACCCAAAGACAGACATTGATAGGATGGGAAGCCTGCTGTAATAGTCATCACTGATGTAAGACATGCTTATTTGCAACAGCAAGGGGTCAACGATCTGCTGTTGCGGCTAAGCATCTTGGGTAATTCACTATCGTAAGACAAAGTAGCGCTGATAATGTGCGGTTGGATTTTTACAGATTGCACTGCTTAGGTAGCATTTAATGCATTGATTTAAGAATTGTAATCACTTAGAATGTGTAAGAAAGCTCTCATGTTCTTGTTTTAGTGATTTAACGATTATCCTTGGCTAAATACCCTGTTGATCTATATTTTATATCTACCCTTTCCAGGTACATTCATTCATTTCAGAATCTCATTGCTTCTTGCCATATAAGCAAGTTACCTCAGATGTTCCAATTAATTATTCAGTAGGTTATCTGAAATTTGTACACTGACTGTGAGTGGGCTACAGGGAGACTGATTGCCCTCACTGACTTCTATGTTGTTTTGTGTGACAGGAGCGACACAGTGCAAAGACAGTGGGAGAGATGAAACAGTTTGTGTCTAAACTGCCCCACCTCCAGGCCGCCCGACAGTCCCTGGCCACGCGTGAGTAGTGTCCCCTGCCCCTACAGGCCACTAGTGAGTAGTCTCCCCTGCCCCTACTGGTCACTAGTGAGTAGTGACCCCCCAGCCCCTACTGGTCACTCGTGAGTAGTCACTCCCCTGCCCCTACTGGTCACTCGTGAGCAGTCACTCCCCCCCCCCTACTGGTCACTCGTGAGTAGTCACTCCCCCGCCCCTACCGGTCACTCGTGAGTAGTGACCCCTCAGCCCCTTCTGGTCACTCGTGAGCAGTCACTCCCCCGCCCCTACTGGCCACTCTTGAGTAGTCACTCCCCCGCCCCTACTGGTCACTCGTGAGTAGTCACTCCCCCGCCCCTACTGGCCACTCGTGAGTAGCCACTTCCCAACCCTTACTGGTCACTCGTGAGAAGTCACTCCCCCGCCCCTACTGGTCACTCGTGAGTAGTCACTCCCCCGCCCCTACTGGCCACTCGTGAGTAGCCACTTCCCAACCCTTACTTGTCACTCGTGAGTAGTCACTCCCCCGCCCCTACTGGCCACTCGTGAGTAGTCACTCCCCCTCCCCTACTGGTCACTCGTGAGTAGTCACTCCCCCGCCCCTACTGGCCACTCGTGAGTAGCCACTTCCCAACCCTTACTTGTCACTCGTGAGAAGTCACTCCCCCGCCCCTACTGGTCACTCGTGAGTAGTCACTCCCCCGCCCCTACTGGTCACTCGTGAGTAGTCACTCCCCCGCCCCTACTGGCCACTCTTGAGTAGTCACTCCCCCGCCCCTACTGGTCACTCGTGAGTAGTCACTCCCCCGCCCCTACTGGCCACTCGTGAGTAGCCACTTCCCAACCCTTACTGGTCACTCGTGAGAAGTCACTCCCCCGCCCCTACTGGTCACTCGTGAGTAGTCACTCCCCTGCCCCTACTGGTCACTCGTGAGTAGTCACTCCCCCGCCCCTACTGGCCACTCGTGAGTAGTCACTCCCCCCCCCCTACTGGTCACTCGTGAGTAGTCACTCCCCCGCCCCTACTGGTCACTCGTGAGTAGTCACTCCCCCGCCCCTACTGGCCACTCGTGAGTAGTCACTCCCCCCCCCCTACTGGTCACTCGTGAGTAGTCACTCCCCCCCCCCTACTGGTCACTCGTGAGTAGTCACTCCCCCCCCCCCTACTGGTCACTCGTGAGTAGTCACTCCCCCGCCCCTACTGGTCACTCGTGAGTAGTCACTCCCCCGCCCCTACTGGCCACTCGTGAGTAGCCACTCCCCCGCCCCTACTGGCCACTCGTGAGTAGCCACTCCCCCGCCCCTACTGGTCACTCGTGAGTAGTCACTCCCCCGCCCCTACTGGCCACTCGTGAGTAGCCACTTCCCAACCCTTACTTGTCACTCGTGAGTAGTCACTCCCCCGCCCCTACTGGCCACTCGTGAGTAGTCACTCCCCCTCCCCTACTGGTCACTCGTGAGTAGTCACTCCCCCGCCCCTACTGGCCACTCGTGAGTAGCCACTTCCCAACCCTTACTTGTCACTCGTGAGAAGTCACTCCCCCGCCCCTACTGGTCACTCGTGAGTAGTCACTCCCCCGCCCCTACTGGTCACTCGTGAGTAGTCACTCCCCCGCCCCTACTGGTCACTCGTGAGTAGTCACTCCCCCGCCCCTACTGGCCACTCGTGAGTAGTCACTCCCCCTCCCCTACTGGCCACTCGTGAGTAGCCACTCCCCCGCCCCTACTGGCCACTCGTGAGTAGTCACTCCCCCGCCCCTACTGGTCACTCGTGAGTAGTCACTCCCCCGCCCCTACTGGCCACTCGTGAGTAGCCACTTCCCAACCCTTACTGGTCACTCGTGAGTAGTCACTCCCCCGCCCCTACTGGCCACTCGTGAGTAGCCACTTCCCAACCCTTACTTGTCACTCGTGAGAAGTCACTCCCCCGCCCCTACTGGTCACTCGTGAGTAGTCACTCCCCCGCCCCTACTGGCCACTCGTGAGTAGTCACTCCCCCTCCCCTACTGGTCACTCGTGAGTAGTCACTCCCCCGCCCCTACTGGCCACTCCCCGACCCTTACTGGTCACTCATGTGAGTAGTCATTCTCCAGTCTACTGGCCACTGAAACATTTGGTACAAATATTCCAATGCATGACTTTCTGTTCCCATTCATTACAAGTGTGTTGACTGCATACTCTCTTCTATGTCTGGCGACAGTTTAAGTGAATCTCTTGCTACATGAAGCAATGCAACTGAGAATGAAAGTCAAGTCATTACAGGTATGGTTGAGTAATCAATCATTCAATCCCAGTGCATACATTATTAGTTGTAGCAGTATCACTAGGGTTTATATATGGTTTGAAGCAACACGCATTTAGTTTTATACCACAAGCCGGAGGAATTATTCTTGCTGACATGTTAAAATCTGCCATTGCAGTGATAGAAGCTAACAATTTCAGTCCACTAGCCCTGATAATGATAACATGTAGCAAAACCCTTAAAAAGGCCAAATATCTACTAGTCCTTATGACACCTTAACTATTTGGCAGTTTGGCAAGGACTATAGGACTAGTGCCAATTATTAAAGCTGCATTGTAAAAGAATAAAAACAATTGGAAAATCGATAGAAAACTACTGTTAGATTCAGCCGAGATTAACTTGTGCTGTGTCGCGTGACTTTCATTTAATCATAAACAATGTTGAACCTTTGGCTTCGTAGCAGGGTATAAGGGATATATTCTCCCACTCAGAAATCCATGTGCAGCCTGTTTTCTTCATGGCAGCGTATAATTGATTTATTCTCCTGCTCTCCCTCAGGCAGGATACACAGTATTTTATCAAGATACTTGAACCAATCAGATCTCACCATTTCGACATGGAGATAAGATAAATGGACATATGTACATGTTTTACATAAGGGAGATAACAATCAAGCCTTAGTACCTGGTGTTGTCAAGCAATGGCAACACAGGTGACCTCAGGGAGTAGTTACAGTCCATGCTGTTCTGTTGAATGTCATGTGCTTGTTTCTCCAGATACTTCAATCGCTGAGTTGATCAAGGAAGCAACAGACCAGGACGAGTTCATGGACTCCCTCCGCTGTCAGCAAGGTACGACACCAGTGTGAAATTCAGTAGCTCACCTGCTCAGCACAGTCGGGTTGTTACAAAAAGGCAATAAATAAACCTGGATAATTCGTGTGGCAGTATGGAAAGCTGTGCATTTAATGGCTTTATGTTTGCATGGTACAGTGTTCTTCTGATGTTTAAGTTTAAATGTTTTATTTACATATTGTATTTGTCTTTGATACAGAGTAGGTGCCACTGTTTGTCATTGTGCCTAAATGTACTGGATCATTGCTTGTTTATCTGTCCAGATTCAGTCTTTTACCTCTGTGACAACAGGGATATAGCTGTAGTATTGCTGACTGACCCTTTGCTGACACTAGTGTGACATTGGAGGCAGTATGTTTAGGAAATATTTGTGTTTATGTGAATGATGTATTCAACAGAATTTATTAATGGCATGGAAACGGACAAAGTCCACCCCTACATTGAAGACGCCATAGCCAAGCAGGAAGTCCTCACTAAGGTAAACGGTTTACAACAATTTCCTCAATTTTAGTTCCTCAGACAATAAAATTGTGTCATTATTTAGGATAGTATATTTCCTTAAAATAAACCCCTTAAGTTCTATTTAAGAACGCCTAGCAGATTCATACTGATCAGTTATGTGTGTGTTGTATTGCAATAACATCTCTCAATATCAATAGTTATTGCAATAGTTGTTTGCAATAGTTATTGATATCGCAGTAGTCTTTTTGGCTCAATAGTCACCCCTAGTGTTGAGTGAGTGCAGTTTAGTGTCAGTATCACAGTGGTAGCATCGCCTCCCGCTTATAACATGGTCATGCTGATCCCAGATTAGAAGTGTGTGTTGAGTGAGTGCAGTAGACCATTCCTTTAACCTGTAGAATATTACTTAAACTTGTAGACTACTCCTTAAACTTGTAGACTATTCCTTATACTTGTAGACTATTCCTTAAACTTGTAGACTATTCCTTAAACATGTAGACTATTCCTTAAACTTGTACACTATTCCTTAAACTTGTAGGCTATTCCTTAAACATGTAGACTATTCCTTAAACATGTAGACTATTCCTTAAACATGTAGACTATTCCTTTAACTTGTAAAATATTCCTTTAGCCTGTAGACTATTCCTTAAACTTGAAGACTGGTCTGCACACGTTTATAAAACTGAACTCACTTGCTGTAGACTTCCAGCAGGACTGATGGTGATGTACTGTGGAATGATTGCAGGTACTGAGGCTGATCTGTATCCAGTCTTTCTGCAACGATGGACTGAAGCCAAAAGTTCTTGACTTCTACAAGAGGGAAATAGTCCAGGTAGGAAGCAACTCTTGACTTCTACAAGAGGGAAATATTCCGGTAGGAACCAATACATGACTTCTACAAGAGGGAAATAGTCCAGGTAGGAACCAACACTTGACTTCTACAAGAGGGAAATAGTCCAGGTAGGAACCAACACTTGACTTCTACAAGAGGGAAATAGTCCAGGTAGGAACCAATACTTGACTTCTACAAGAGAGAAATAGTCCAGGTAGGAACCAACACTTGTCTTCTACAAGAGGGAAATAGTCCAGGTAGGAACCAACACTTGACTTCTACAAGAGGGAAATAGTCCAGGTAGGAACCAACACTTGACTTCTACAAGAGGGAAATAGTCCAGGTAGGAACCAACACTTGACTTCTACAAGAGGGAAATAGTCCAGGTAGGAAGCAACACTTGTCTTCTACAAGTGGGAAATAGTCCAGGTAGGAACCAACACTTGACTTCTACAAGAGGGAAATAGTCCAGGTAGGAACCAGTACTTGACTTCTACAAGAGGGAAATAGTCCAGGTAGGAACCAACACTTGACTTCTACAAGAGGGAAATAGTCCAGGTAGGAACCAACACTTGACTTCTACAAGAGGGAAATAGTCCAGGTAGGAAGCAACACTTGTCTTCTACAAGTGGGAAATAGTCCAGGTAGGAACCAACACTTGACTTCTACAAGAGGGAAATAGTCCAGGTAGGAACCAACACTTGACTTCTACAAGAGGGAAATAGTCCAGGTAGGAAGCAACACTTGTCTTCTACAAGAGGGAAATAGTCCAGGTAGGAACCAGTACTTGACTTCTACAAGAGGGAAATAGTCCAGGTAGGAACCAACACTTGACTTCTACAAGTGGGAAATAGTCCAGGTAGGAACCAATACTTGACTTCTACAAGAGGGAAATAGTCCAGGTAGGAACCAGTACTTGACTTCTACAAGAGGGAAATAGTCCAGGTAGGAACCAGTACTTGACTTCTACAAGAGGGAAATAGTCCAGGTAGGAACCAACACTTGACTTCTACAAGTGGGAAATAGTCCAGGTAGGAACCAACACTTGACTTCTACAAGTGGGAAATAATACTGACATCAAGGCAGTTTTTGATATTCAGGACAAATTTCATGGAGTGTCAAAGTCATGGAGACATGAAACCCTGTATGGATGACAACTTCTCTACTGTTTGTACATTTGGGGCTACCTTGTTCTCATCCATCTTTACCTTTCATGTCTCCAAATGTCAGGTGGTCATGTTTAACTGTCATGTGCAGTATTTAGCGTTGTCAAATCTACAGCCATTGAACTCAGTACCTCCTTAATTTGAAACACTGTCAATACATGAATGACTCAAGAAAGTGAGTTATATAATGAATCCGTGGGACAAGTTTCCTTTGGAGGCCATCATATGATATATTCACTGAAATGTGAAACAGGCAATGCCCTATCATTACTACCAGAATGGGTTCTGTGACAGTGACATTATGTGTCTTAATTACTTTTCTACTGTGCTGTTAATATATCGAGCTTCAGTTGATTCTATCCATCTTTTTGTTTCTTCACCAGACGTACGGGTTCGAGCACATGTTGACTTTGATGAACCTGGAGAAAACAGGGCTGCTTCGTCCCCATGGCAACCGTACATACACAGTAATCAGGAAGTCACTGAAGCTGATAGTAGAGGATGTCAATGAACAGGTGAGTTATGCATTAGAATGGTCAACAGGTGAGTTATGCATTAGAATGGTCAACTGGAGAGCAAAGCAAATATGTTTGGACTTGATGCTCCACAGTTAGAAGTCTTGATAATGAAAACAGATATATTTGACACAAAATTATAATCCGTAACCAAGGTAACTGTAGCACTGGTTCAAATAGCATGTCTTGCTCCAGTGATGAAGTTTGTTTGATGATGTTTAGTACAATGTTTATACTGTAGATACCCACAGATTAGTATTATGCCTTCAGGTTTTATTGCTAGGTTTCTCAACTCAATGTTCAGCTTCGTAGTGATTATTTGGTTGAAGAAATATATAAAAAGGAAAACAATAATAGATACTTGCCATTAATTGAGAATACATCCAATATGTTATCTGTTGTATAAAATTTGAAATTAAACACGTCATTAGTAGATGTTTAACCCCAGAAATGATGATGATAAGATATGTGCGAGAATTGTTCACTATTTGAAGTGCTGACCTCAAAAGTTTGAACATTTTTCAAAAGGGGATGGATAAACTTGCAACATTGTTATCAGGCTTTACTTGCGTGGTCGGATATGTTTACTTTAAGGTAGCCAAGTGGTGAGCAGTAGAAAAATTTAGGTCACCATAGATTTAAATTGCATTTGGCCACCGAAATGGTCGCTACTCAGAGGGCTGACCCATGTCAAATGTATTGCAGCTCCCTAATGACATCTCGTACGTGTTCAGCGGCTACGCCCCCCTGAGTGTGCGCCTGGCCCAGTATCTGGCGCGGCCGGGCTGGAGAAGCATCACAGAAGTACTCAACCTTCTGCCGGGGCCCAAAGTAGAGGAAATACAACAGATACCGGTAGCACTCAGGAAAAGAAGTAAGTGTTTGAAATATGCTGTCTGCCAAAAGATAATGTGAGGAACTGTTCTTCGAAATTCAGGGGTCCCGGGATCCTATGGTATTTGAATGTGGAGACCCCTGAAATCTTTCATTTTTCACATAAGGGTTGCGACAAGGACCTACAGAAGCCATTTATGGCCATTTGCCTTTTTGATTATTTCTTGAAATATCAAGACACTGAGTTGAAATTTAGAGATGCTATGTTAAAATTTAAAAATATTTAGTTGGAATTTCAAGATAATAAATTCACATGTTCATACGTGTTCACAACTGGCCGCCACCAGTCACCAGTGTTATGAATTAACCTGTACACTGTATAAATGTATTCAGAGGTTGCACATTATCTTAAAATTTCAAGTTAACATCTTGAAACTTTCTGTGAGGAAACTGGTTTTGATAATGTGTGTTTAGATTGGTAGGAATATCTGTGCTGTGAGAGTGACCATGCCGTACTGCCTGTATTATTCAATATCCTGATTTACCTTCCAGAGTTCAACATGGACTTGTGCTTTAACTAAGATATTGCTGCCTTCAGTAAACCTGTGTCCTTCCTCACAATGTTATATACATGATTTATCTTCCATGGTCCTAGACTGACTCGTGCTATAACTAAGATATTGCTGCCTTCAGTAAACCTGTGTCCTTCCTCACAATGTTATATACATGATTTATCTTCCATGGTCCTAGACTGACTCGTGCTATAACTAAGATATTGCTGCCTTCAGTAAACCTGTGTCCTTCCTCACAATGTTATATACATGATTTATCTTCCATGGTCCTAGACTGACTCGTGCTATAACTAAGATATTGCTGCCTTCAGTAAACCTGTGTCCTTCCTCACAATGTTATATACATGATTTTATCTTCCATGGTCCTAGATTGACTTGTGCTTTAACTAAGATATTGCTGCCTTCAGTAAACCTGTGTCCTTCCTCACAATGTTATATACATGATTTATCTTCCATGGTCCTAGACTGCCTCGTGCTGTAACTAAGATATTGCTGCCTACAGTAAACCTGTCCTTCCTCACAACGTTGTATACATAATTTATCTTCCATGGTCCTAGATTGACTCGTGCTTTAACTAAGATATTGCTGCCTTCAGTAAACCTGTGTCCTTCCTCACAACGTTGTATACATAATTTATCTTCCATGGTCCTAGACTGCCTCGTGCTGTAACTAAGATATTGCTGCCTTCAGTAAACCTGTGTCCTTCCTCACAACGTTGTATACATGATTTGTCTTCCATGGTCCTAGACTGCCTCGTGCTGTAACTAAGATATTGCTGCCTTCAGTAAACCTGTGTCCTTCCTCACAACGTTGTATACATGATTTGTCTTCCATGGTCCTAGACTGCCTCGTGCTGTAACTAAGATATTGCTGCCTACAGTAAACCTCTGTCCTTCTTCACAATGTTGTATACATAATTTATCAATCACTTTTCCTGTTACAGGAAGTTCCATCTCCTCCCAGCATTCCAGTTCTGGGGATCAGAAAGTGACACTCGTCTTCTTCCTCGGGGGCGTGACGTTTGCAGAGATCGCGGCACTCCGCTTCCTTGCACAGCAGGATGATGGTAGGTGTTACCATAGAAACAACTGTGTCAATAGCGAATACATAACATATTAAGTGCTCCTGTCAACTGAGGAAGGGAAATTGGAATTATGCTTCTTAAAACCATATGCCAGGACAGTTTCCTTACCAGACTATTTCGTTCTTTTTAACGCTCCACTCAACAATATTCCAGCTATAAGACGGCAGTCTGAAAATAATCAAGTTTGGAACAGACAATCCAGTGATTGACAACATGAGCATCGATCAACGCAATGTGGATATCATGACATGCATCAACCAAGTCAGCAACAGCCCGATCCTGTTAGTCCCCTCTTACGACAAGCATAATATTCCCTATTGGCAAGCATAGGTTGCTGAAGACCAACTCTAACCCAGATCTTCACTGTTCCCGGAATGTTTGACCGAGAATGAAGTCTGAGGTCAATAGTAACAATACAGTGGCTGACCTCACTAGTATTGTTCATGTCAGGTTCTTCTACCATAGTGACCTCAAAAGTCTTCGGGTTAGAATAGGTCTTCAGAAACCCATGCTTGCCGTAAAAGGCAACTATGCTTGTCGTAAGAGGCAACTAACGGGATCGGGTGGTCAGGCTCACTGACTTGGTTAATGCATGTCATCATATCTCAATTGTGTGGATCGATGCTCATGTCAATCACTGGATCAGTTCAGTTTATAGATAACTTATTGATACCAATCCTGGTTATGATATGGATACTTGACATGTTCATCAGCCATCTGACACAACAGACACAGACCGGCTTAGCTTGATGCTGTATTGGGGCCAAACGACCTCAAAACGACCAACAGGTAATCTTTTGGGGAAACCAAAGAGGATCTGAGCACTTACTATGTTGAAGAACATAAACTGATTAATGTCTTTTGAGTATTTTGTTTCTTTTGAACTTCTACTTTTTCTAGTTTAAAGTCTGTGTACAGTAGTTTTATATGTGTTATTGTATTCAACCTTACATACAGGATGTTACTGACTGGTTTGACTCGGGCTGAAACGATACACAGAATCTTATTAACCTTCATACAATTTTATGAAAATATTCTAATTTTGATATCAGAGAGGAAGCGAAAGCTGATTTCATTTCAAAGACAAAAAGACAACACTAATTCTGCACAATGGACTCAATATAAATGAGACCATCTAATGTAAAGCGGTATTTGTTGTTGAATTAATTGTATCGTGGATCGTCTCTGTGGTAGTGCACTGATGCATCAGTGAGTCGTTTCAGCCCTGATTGGAAGGCGCTTCATCATGTAGCTGTCTCAGTACTATCACATGTTTGAATCCAATATTATATTTCCCTGCCTGAAGTTCTATGAAACACTATATAGAAGGTCAATGAGCAAACTTTGACCCCCGATTCATAGGAAGGATGCATGGGTTCTTGAGTCAATCAAATGTCAGCTGTCTGAAAAGAATTTGATTAATGTCTTTTATCTTGATCTTAACAAAAGAAAACCTACACAGAAAACATATTCCTTAAATAGTACACACATTTGGGTGTAGTTGCCATGGTGCGGAAAAGCAACAGTATGTGTGGCCTTTATTATTTCCATTTAGATCTGCTTGTTCAGGATCATTTTTTCAAGATACCGTAAACAGATTTGCTCCTCTGAAAGTCTCCCTGTTGCCACCTCCTGTAGAGGTTTTGTCAGATATTCACACAGAGGGGTATCATCATCATCACTATCATGTCCAAGTTACAGATCTGATTTTATTGAGATTGATTATGTTGATGAAGACCATTGTTGAATCATGTTGTTACTTTTTGTGTATCTCATTAACCAGATGTTATTTGTTCTATAAGTTTGTCTTTGCATGCTGTAGGTACTGATTATATTGTTGCTACAACGGCCATCGTTAATGCGGAAAATTTCATCAAGCCTTTAGTGGAGCAGTTTGAGTCCCAGCTGAGTGACTCACCAGCTTACTAGTCAGTCGTCTCAGTTGTAGGTCCTTCTGTTATAACCCAGTGTGTCCCCTTCCCTCAGTGTGTCTCCCTTCCCTCAGTGTGAATCCCTTTCCTCAATGTTCTGCATCTAATAATCTCAGACAATGTGGATAATAAGCTGTTAATGTTTTGGCACTTGCCTAAGGCTCCGTGTCAATGGTTCCTTCAGAGGAGTAAAATTTAATGCGAGCTACTCCGATTTACCCTACCCAACTGGGCTAATCCAATCTAGCCTTCCCAACAGTGGGCTAGTCTGATCTACCCTACCCAACAGTGGGCTAATCTGATCTACCCTACCCAACAGTGGGCTAGTCTGATCTACTCTACCCAACACTGCACTAGTCTGATCTACTCTACCAAACAGTGGGCTAATCTGATCTACCCTACCCCACAGTAGGCTAATCTGATCTACCCTACCCAACAGTGGGCTAGTCTGATCTACCCTACCCAACACTGCGCTAGTCTGATCTACTCTACCAAACAGTGGGCTAATCTAATCTACCCTACCCAACAGTGGGCTAATCTGATCTACCCTACCCAACAGTGGGCTAGTCTGATCTACCCTACCCAACAGTGGGATAGTCTGATCTACCCTACCCAACTGTGGGCTAGTCTGATCTACCCTACCCAACAGTGGGCTAGTCTGATCTACCCTACCCAACAGTGGGCTAGTCTGATCTACCCTACCCAACAGTAGGCTTGTCTGGTCTGATCTACCCTACCCTACAGTAGGCTAGTCTGATCTACCCTACCCAACAGTGGGCTAGTCTGATCTACCCTACCCAACAGTGGGCTAGTCTGATCTACCCTACCCCAAAATAGGCTAGTCTGATCTACCCTACCCAACAGTGGGCTAATCTGATCTACCCTACCCAACAGTAGGCTAGTCTGATCTACCCTACCCAACAGTGGGCTAGTCTGATCTACCCTACCCAACAGTGGGCTAGTCTGATCTACCCTACCCAACAGTAGGCTAGTCTGATCTACCCTACCCAACAGTGGGCTAGTCTGATCTACCCTACCCAACAGTAGGCTAGTCTGATCTACCCTACCCAACAGTGGGCTAGTCTGATCTACCCTACCCAACAGTGGGCTAGTCTGATCTACCCTACCCAACAGTGCACTAGTCTGATCTACCCTACCCAACAGTGCACTAGCCTGATCTACCCTACCCAACAGTGGGCTAGTCTGATCTACCCTACCCAACAGTGGGCTAGTCTGATCTACCCTACCCAACAGTAGGCTAGTCTGATCTACCCTACCCAACAGTGGGCTAGTCTGATCTACCCTACCCAACAGTAGGCTAGTCTGATCTACCCTACCCAACAGTAGGCTAGTCTGATCTACCCTACCCAACAGTGGGCTAGTCTGATCTACCCTACCCAACAGTAGGCTAGTCTGATCTACCCTACCCAACAGTGGGCTAGTCTGATCTACCCTACCCAACAGTAGGCTAGTCTGATCTACCCTACCCAACAGTGGGCTAGTCTGATCTACCCTACCCAACGGTAGGCTAGTCTGATCTACCCTACCCAACAGTGGGCTAGTCTGATCTACCCTACCCAACAGTGGGCTAGTCTGATCTACCCTACCCAACAGTAGGCTAGTCTGATCTACCCTACCCAACAGTAGGCTAGTCTGATCTACCCTACCCAACAGTGGGCTAGTCTGATCTACCCTACCCAACAGTAGGCTAGCCTGATCTACCCTACCACCATGCCTTCCCATCCCTTAGTTTTGCACAATTACTATAGAATATAATTCCTGATTTTAATGGAACATAAATTGTGACATTTTCCAAAATGCATCACTGAGTTCAGATAAAGAACTGCATAAAGGAAAAGGCTGGATAACATATCTAAAACAAAGTTTTGGAACTGAGACATTTCACAGTCAACTTTGTAGAATAATAAAACGTATTTGCAAGTCTTTTATTTCATGCAAAATAAATTATTTCGACTTTGGTTGATGGGATGAAAAATAGCTTAGTTCTAATGAACTGATTCACCACAAGCAAACCACACCAGTCTGTTGCCTTCACTTCCACAGTAAAAACAGCAACCGTCACCCACTTGCACCAAGTTTACAAAGCAATTGCTTCAGAAATATTAATCTTTTTTATTTTTTCAGACATAATCTTCACCCATAATTGTATAAATGCCTAGTCGTCTATATATCTATTTTAATAAGATAAATGATACGACTCAACTATCACTTAGTTTCAAATACTGAACCATGCATTTCATTTTTTTATCTTATTGTCATATTAAGGAGAAATCGAACACACTTTGAGTAAGGAAAGCTTTGTGTAACATACAAACACATAGTGAGATGTATAGCCTGTGGCCGTCGTGTCCAGCTCCCCATCATGGGGTGATCACCAGTGATAAAAAAGTACCACCTTTCCTGTGCAGAATTACGTCCCTTAGTTGTACCAGGATTGGCTAATCTTGGGTTCGAATCCCAGATACATTTCTGTTTTGGATTATTGGTGGGATTCATCCCATTTTCACCGATATGCTGTTTTATGTTTGTATACTGTTCAAATCTTTGTTAAATACATTTCATTCAATCTGTGTAATTATCCAAACGTTCAGCATTCACGTTTATTCAGTAGCACAGTCAAAGGGATTCTCCCAGAATTATCTTACAAATATGTATACAATCAGTACTGTACTTAAGTAATACCATTAATAATACATGTCTGAATAAGATTATAATAATCCATGTTTGTTTTCTGTTCTTCAGGCGGCACAGACTACTTGATTGCAACAACCAAGATCATTACGGGGAAGCACTTGATTGAGTCTTTACAGGAGAAGATAGAGACTGTCAAACTGAACCCATTCTGAGATTGCCAAATCAAAGTGAATCTAAGGTGGAAGCATGACATGCTCTGTGCAATCAATGTTACAGGTGACCCTCCCAGCATCCAGCTCCTCGTCCAGCTTGTCATGATGATGAACAGTGCAGTCTGTGTTCTGATGTGGGTGATGCCAACACCTGCTGTGCCAGATGTAGCAGTATTTGGATTAAGGGAAAACTGAGGAGTGGCCTTACTGTGCCCATATTGTGCTAGAATTCACTCTGTGTAATTAACCAAAAGTTATTTGTGCCAGATGTAGCAGTATTTGGATTAAGGGAGAACTCGGGAGTGGCCTAACTGTGCCCATAATGTGCTAGAATTTTAGAGTTATGTCCCTTTGTGCTATTATTTAACAGTTTTGTCCCTTAGTCGTGACAGAATCCTACTTTCACACTGATTATGATTCTTGATTTGTCAGCTCCACGTGTCGTCGGTTTCACCAACACGGGAAACATCTAGGACCTATGTCGCTAGGTGACTCTCATGTGCTAACTCATACTGTGAATTTCTCTGTGAGTTTTCTCTCCTACTTACTCACTGGCACTTACTCTAGTGGATCGGGTGGTCATGCTTGGTGACTTGGTTGACACCATCATACCACATTGACATGGGTGATTGCTCATGATACTAATAACTGGATTGTCTGATCCAGACTGATAGCGCTGGAGATGCGAACCCTTTCTGCTCACACCTGGTGTCACCACTGTTGTTTAGTGATCCATCCATATAATGTTCATCCTAAGTTTGCCTTTTTCACCCAATGGAAACTGTTTTGGCAGATAACTAAATACAGTTCAAAGAGAGAGTATGTATAACTAACTCACTCATTCATTCAAACTCATAATCTTGGAAGCCATAACTGTTTGAAACCAATTTAACACAGCTGTGGAACTATCCTGGAAATATCCCATAAAGATAAACCAGATTACATGACACCAATCTCTAGTGTATTTAATGCTGAACTGAAATATGAATCTTTAGATGATAATTCTGACCATAAATTCATTAGCTACACGAACAACAAACATAATCCCATGAAACATAATATGAGTAATTCCCCTTCATTTTCCCCCTCCCCTCCCCCAATCAGAAAACATCATGCACAACTGATCAAATCAAGGCAGGTAAGAAATATCACATTGTCATTGTTGGTATTTGTGCTATCAGATAATGGTTTACCTAAGTAATTATGCATGGTGCTGGGATGGCTGGTGTCTGGTCCTGGTGGCCTGGGAGTTCCTGTTGTGAAACTTGTACATACCAAAACTGTATTATGTAAATCTGATCTGTACATAACCATGCTGTATATTGGTAAAGAAAATATATGAAACATGACTTAAAACATGCAGTTGTTGTTTCTGTTTTCTTGTCAAGTTCATTCATGGTTTTGCTTTCTCTATATGCCAAGAAGCACGAGGCAAATTATAACAGAATATGAAAATAGGTTGTGTTGTGGTTTTGAAATATAATATTACATGAGTTTCCAAAAATAGAAACCAGAGTCACAGGAGCTTACTTACACTGGAGGTATTAACACAATGGAGGATGTGCCAAATATTTTATGATGTGCGAAGAAACATGTCCCCAGTCCGTCTGTTCCAGAAGAGAGTATGTTTGCACAGCCGGGATTGCCTTTGTGAGAATCTTAGAGCATTGTTTAAACACGAGCATTAACTCAAGTTACGGAATGAAAATATTGAGAAAAACAAAAGATAAATATGTGTCTGGTTGACTACCACGTTTCAATACATTTGAAGTTATCCTTTCTTGTCCAGTAGTGTCTGTGGAGAAGATGCATTTTTAGAGAATTTAAAGAGCATAGTCAAAATGTAAGTGTCAAGGTCAAATGTAAATGTCGAGGTCAAATGTAAGTCTCAAGGTCCAAATGTAAGTGTCAAGGTCCAAATGTGAGTGTCAAGGTCAAAATGTAAGTGTCAAGGTCAAAATTTAAGTGTCAAGGTCAAAATGTATGTGTCAAGGTCAAAACTGTAGTGTCAAGGTCAAAACTGTAGTGTCAAGGTCAAATTGTAAGTGTCAAATCAAGGTTAAAATGTAGTGTCAAAGTCAAAATGTAAGTGTCGTGGTCAAATGTAAGGGCCAAGGTAAAATCAAAATTAAGAATAGTCAACTGCACATGTACCAAGGTACAAGGCAGCTGTGGCGGGCCTCTTGGAGACGATCAGCCAATCATTTCTCAGCCGAGAAGTTTTAGATCCGGTTGAACAAGAGCGTGGGCAGGTTCCTTCAATTTGAAACATGTAGTGACGCCGTTTCGTTTTTCTGTCCGTCCTTTTCACGTTAAAATTACGATTCTTAATAGTGCTATCCAAACTCACACACATCGTAGTGAAAACGTAAGAGTATGCTTTCAACGCTTTGATCTTGCTGAGAGTCCTCCCCAGGGTAACATTCTACAAAATGATCATAGCGCTGAGACGAATTGGTCTTCAGCAACCCATGCATGTCGTAAGAGGCGACTAACGGGATCGGATGGTCAGGCTCACTGACTTGGTTAATGCATGTCATCGTATCTCAACTGCAAAGATCTATGCTCATGATGTCACTCAGTGGATTGTTTGGTCCTACACGCGATTTTCTACAGACCGCCGTCAAATAGCTATAGAATATTGCTGAGTGCAGCGTCAAACAATATACAAACAAACATGATCATACCGTTTACGTGTTCACGGATAACCTTCGTATCATGTATCCACACAGTGGGAACTATTGACACCACTCCATCATAACACCGGTATGTCACGAGTAGCGTCACGGTTAGTGTTGTGTCCATCAACGGGCCATGATCTAGTGGTCGTAGGTTTCTCTGGCCCGTGAGCACGATGTTTGTGATTGTGGGTTGAACCCGACTGGTAAACGTACGACCTGCGTCCATTGGGGTTTTCCTTCGGACGCAAGTGTTCAAAGTGTGAATTAACTCCAAAACTCAATCAATTCGGTGGCTTTAAGGATGTAACCTAACACTTGACCAAATGTATAAAATACAATATAATACAAAGGAAACAATACATTACAATACAATGTAAACAACGTTTCTATAAGATGCACTCCACGGCCCACAAAGCACTTGAAGCATTACTTTGTTATTTAGCATGGACTTTCGACCGTCGTAGTGCTACGAACTCTGCTACGATTAATCTGAAAATCAGAATTATGGCCTATTCAATCTCAAACAAGAAACAAATAATTAGCACACTGGTTACAGGCTAAACAGGCAACTGTTTCTCAGGTATCGGAGCGTCTTGATAATGCTTTGAAACGTTTGGCCAAACCAGAAACAGATTCCAATCAATCAAACAAAGACCGCTTGTTCTTGAATTTGAAATTTCCCACAAAATTTCAAACTTCAGAAACCACCAACAGTTTCTTTTTCCTTTACAAACACCATTTCATCCAAATTGTTCAATTATAGGAACGTGCTGCATGACGTTGATTTGGCAACTCATGATGTAAATTCCACTCCTTTGGGACTGCCAAAACTCACCATATTGTTACCAACCTGCTGGCCATACAATCACAGCTGACTTCTCTATTGCTGACTTCCCTTGACTCCCTTTATGAGTCATTTTCAAAAGATGTCACTTTTTTTTGTCCAAACCCATTAAAATATTAAAAATATATATCTTTACATTACATTTTTTTCAGACTATCTCATGGAAAGTAATTCATATGATGAAACGGTTTATTTGCAATCATTGGGTCATGTTATGCGAATTTGATGCGGTTTAAAAGGGTAGAAAATGCAACTTTGGCTGTTCCAGCGCATTGAGCTTCAGATTTGGGAAACTGCAATTTGATAAATATTGGAATGTATACTATATTTTTGTGGTTATCTTATACAAACTCGACACATTAGGTACTTTCAGTGCGTAATTTCAATCCACTTTATATAATTTCTAAACAAAAATGATATTTAACATCGTCCTTAGATTTTGTGTCTTTCCTGTAACACTTAATAAAACATTGGAATAATCAATGATCCCCAATGCAAGGATATCAGCACTTCCTGTCATGCCCCGTACCATTTCCTACAGAAGAGTGGTGCCATGATTGTGTCATGTGCACCAGAAGACAAATTAGCAACAAAAGTTAACAAAAAAGGTAAGAGTTAATTATTTTCATTTCATGTCTTTCCCATAATGCAATGATTCAATGGAACAGATGCAAAATAGTTATTTCAAGTTCCAAGTTTATGCGCCAATTCATGAACAGAAACGTGTGTGAACATTCAACTTCATAAAGAGACCATTAATTAGTCAATATATTTTTTTTATCTAATGATTTGTCCTCCCTGTAACAGTCTTTCCTCTAACACTAAATGTATTACAGCTAAGACAGATTTTGTTAAAGTAAGGACTGTCTTCACTTAATATGCTATAAAGAAACAAAGTAATTACTCTGTTCTTTTCAATATTCCAAATAATTATTTCAATTCAGTAATTTGTAGGATAAACTTGTATTTCATTATTCTATGCAAAATTATTGAAAAACCTATTTGTTATAAGAAATGTGTTACAGTAAAGACAGCCTTGCTACGGTAATGACATTCTACATTTCCTAAAGTCAATTAAAAACAAAGTAATTACTCTCTGCTATGATTGATGATATATTCTAGTTAAGGGATCAATGATATTTTAGTTACTTGTTCCTAAGCTTGCTAAAATAAGTGGGCGGTCGGGTAGCCTAATGGCTAAAGCGTTCGCTCGTCACGCCAAAGACCCGGGCTCGATTCCCGACATGGGTACAATGTGTGAAGCCCATTTCTGGTGTCCCCCGCCGTGATATTGCTGGAATATTGCTAAAAGCGGCGTAAAACCATACTCACTCACTCACTGCTAAAATAAGTGTTTGTGATTTTTTAGTTACTATGTTACCGTTTTTACAGGAAAGACTAACTATACGTTTAATATAGAATCATGGCAGTGATCATGAAGTACCATTACTTGAGGGTATTTTCTATTTTGAAAGGTCAAACAAGTTGTAGAAAACGAGTTTAGGAAAAAACACTTCTTCACTGCACTTAACTGATGTCTGAAAACAATATTTTCAAACTTCACTCGATGAGATATACATCGTATTTGAAAAAAGCATGAAACAGTCTCTTTGTCTTATATAAAGATACGTGTGAAGCTGATGGTCAGAAACTGAATTCTTACAATGAAGAGCACCGTGCTGTTTGACGTTATCTCTTTCACACACTGCCGTTCTTGGACAATCGCCGCTAATCCCCGCTAGCGCCAGTTAATTAACACGAATAAATGAGCTATGTGTATCCATGAACATTTAGAAAGTGGTCAACTGTAGCAAATGTTTTTTGGGGGGATAACACTTTCTTAGTAAAGTACAGATTCTCTTACTTTTGTGGGTTGAGTCCCGTCTGGGATTCGAACCCACACTGCCAGAGTCAGGCACCTAATCGCCAGCACACAAAGTCAGCGATCGAACCCAATCAGCCGCCGAGGCTTCCACAAAAATGGAAGTCCGGACGGGGCTCAACCCAAAAAAGTACGAGAATCTGTACTTTACAAAGAAAATGTTATCCCAAATATAACATTTGTTCTTTGTGTATCCACTGACATTCTAGCAGATGCACTCGGTGACCTCTCAGATGGATGTTTGAAGCCAAACTGAAATTCGCTAACTGTTGCGTATGCACAGTTGCCTGGTCCACGGCAGACAGGGGATCAGGCAGGGCAAAAACAGATACATTACAATACATTTTTACTGTTAAATTAGTGTTTCTCCGTGATAACAAGGCATTCCTGTGTTAAAAACACTCCAACGCGGCCCATATTAGGCCAGCGATATGTAGTTTTGTTGCTTACTTTTAATGGAGAATAATATACTTGAAACCATTTTTACAGCTCCATGACATCGCTGACCTCCGTTGTGCTTTGGTCAACTGACGTTGTAACCTTGACAGGAGGACGCTGTGGTATTGGCCAGTAGCCACATCAGCTCAAGTGTTACCATCGTGGCTGGGTAACCAACACAAAGAGACGCTGTCATTTTGGCCAGTAGGCACATCAGCTCGAGTGTTACCATCGTGGCTGTGTAACCAACACAAGCAAACGCTGTGGTATTGGCCAGTAGCCACATCAGCTCGAGCGTTACCATCATGGCTGGGTAACCAACACAAGCAAACGCTGTGGTATTGGCCAGTAGCAACATCATCATGGCATTCCAAAATACCATCGAGTTATCAGTGAGAAAGTCCAGCATTTCACACATTGTTTCCTCAGTAAACTTCAGATGACATTTGCTTTCAATATAGACAAATTGCCTTGAACTTTAGAAGATAGACATGTGACTATATCTATGGTCACCACGTTTTGTAACAATACCCTGATGGATCAGGGAATGGCATAATTCCTTAATTTATTCATGTCAGAAAGTGGTTTACAAAGTTTAAAAATCAAATGTTTTGACATGATTGGACCTGGTTCTTTCCTGAGCTTGCAATAAGTCAAGCAAATCCTTTTAGAAGCCTTTTCAGTGGGACAACTACAAACTTTTTATGTAGGGCAGTCCGGCTTTGGGCGACAACTGCTTGGGGCAGGGTGGGTTTGTTCAATTTCTGTTTCTTCTTTTTCAGTTTGTTTTTCTACCAATGACAACATCACAAACTAACTTAATCCACTCTGAAAGACATTCAACAGGTTCTTCTCTTTTGGCCCATTTTTTGGCATATGCTTAGACAGCATTCATAATGATTTTAAAGCTCTGATCCTAATTGGTAGGAGGCTGCTCATGATATTTAAGAGAATTGCTTTTCATCCATTGTTCACATGACCGACAATTCACAATCATTTTAAAAGGAGAGAAAGTAGGGCACCGATCATAACCAGAGAGGTGTAAAACACGCAGATAACAAACACCACTTTGTCCAGTTTATCTGCCAGAAGAGGAAAGTCTGTGAACTCCTCCAGGTCTTCTTCCTTTGAGTCGTCACCAGCGTCTGGTGGAGTGGCTGGCTGTACAACCTTCTTCTTGCATTTCTTCAGGAGAACGGAAGCAAAGATCCGCGTCAACCTACTGTGTTTCTCTCTCTGACTTAGCCGTTGTGAAACAATGCAGTATGCCACGATGGAAGAACTGAACACGAATAGCGTGTAGACAATGATGGTCAAGATTGGAATATCTTTGGACGACTGTGGTAGCAGATCAGTGAGGAGGGTGATGAAGATGGTGAAGGACAGGAAGAGGGTGACCGATGTTGACGTCTTCTCGCCACTGTTGGACTTGACCAGGATCACACAAGGATTGACGAAAGTAACAATAAACAGGGGCATTATCAGACTAAAGATATAGTAACCTTGACGACGCTGCAGGATCAGTGTCATACTCACTCCACCCTTGGGTCCGCGTTCGCGAAGGGTTACTCTCTTTGCTGAGGCCCTCGTCATTGCCCATTCACCAGTGTCGATGACATCCTCGGCAGTGAAGGTGACATCACTGACGTTGACATCCAGCTCCCTGTGATAGGAGGTGGTCATTGTGATTGAGCAGGTATGGATGTCAAAAGGGAACTTCGTGAGACGCATAGGACAAGGTGTTCTTGTCTCTAGATCAATATACCACTCGACTTTGCCGTCGGGAAAAACCTGCAACATATTTGTAAAAGTTGTTTTTACATTTTCTAGAAAAGAAAAGATTGAAGTATGGTCTAAGGATCTCCGTTCGTTCGGTCGACATGGGAGGCAACGCTTCAACCAGCAGGCTACCCCAACGCCCCTTGTAACGGCCTGTACCCGTGAAGATCTAGGGCAGAATAAGTCCTCAGAAATCCATGTTTGCCGTAAAGCGACTATGCTTGTCGTAAGAGGTGACTGTCAGGATCGGGTGTTAATGCATGTCATCGTATCTCAGTTGCGTGGATATCGATGGTCCTGATATTGATCACTGGATTGTCTGGTCCAAACTCGATTATTTTCAGACCACCGTCATATAACTAGAATATTGCTGAGTGGGGCGTTAAACAACAAACAAACAAACTGCAACGGCCTAAAAAGGGCAACATACCTGAATAGCGTTGTCAGCCTCACCGAACGTGTCCTTACCACTGTGAGTTTTGAGGACTTGAAGTTCCGGGACCCATATTTTGGATCTGGGAAAGTTAATCGTTCTTACATCTGTGTACTTCTTGTCATCCCACGTCAACCTCTCGTCCGTCCACGTGACCACAAGGTCCAACCACGTGACCAAGATTTCACGGGTTGCGTCCAGGGTGACTATTTTGGACACTGCAATGTCCGTGTTAACAAACACTGTTTGCGCGGAGTCATTGACGGGACGGAGGTTTGGCTGGTAGTCGTTTAGGAGGTTGTTATGGAGGCGTTGCAGGTCGATGTAGCTGGCGCCGTCACTGACGCTGAAGTGGAGAAGTCCCAGCAGTGTCACCTTCACAAAATCCATTTCGAATGTTTTGTCAAAATCACAATGGGAACGACTTGTCAGGCATATATAGCAATATGATCTACCGAACAATCTGACAATCTTTCCTACCTGTGAATACTGTACAAGTAGTGTGTTGAGAATCTGCTGTCGCCAGACTGACTAAGTTAACAGTGTGATTCCGTCATTTCATACGGGCGAATGCTTACCACTAAGCGTTAAAGCACGGTTCTAGTACTGTTGACAATCCTCTTGTGTTTTTATTACGTGCATGACATTAATGAAAAAGATTTGATTAAGCGTGATTGTATTCGTCCAATAGTGTTTGCAGTTAAAAGATTTCAACATACCTGTTTGTAATGCAAACAAACGCCAATTCCATCGCGACGCGATGTAAGTGGCGTTTTGTGTGCGACGACTAGGATAAAACACCGCTTTGTGAATGTATATCTGTGTTTGTGATTGATTTGTTGGAATGAGATAAGCGCTGGTATTGACAGGCGGATGCAGTTGAAGCCATCTAGCATGTGTTCCCAGCAGTCCCACACTGATGGCATCCGGCCCGAGAACTTCAAACATTGTTCGAATGGAAGATCAGCAGCAACGGTACTTTATTAGTACGCACCACACAAAATATGTATAATGTGTTTACAACTTCGGCCTGGAAATATTCGAAACCAACCAGGTACTGATATTATAAGAACGATGGCAATCAACCAACACAATCAACCAAGTCACCGAGTTTGACACCCTATAGTATTTTCATAGTTGTAGGATGGGTATTTATAATGTGTTTGTTTGTTGTTTAACGACGCACGTAGCAATATCCAACCTATACATGGGCGGTGTGGAAATAACCAAGAACCCAATTTCTGACATTTGTATATTTCCCATCAGTGAATACCGCAATGTGTGGCTCACAAACAGGTCTTGTGGTTGATGACATGGCAGGTTTACTTAACGTGTGGCACACAAACAGGTCTTGTGGTTGATGACCTGGCAGGTTCACTTAACGTGTAATAACGTGCTAAATTGATGTACACAAAATGATGCCTACCATTACAGTAATTATTGATGTGTGATCAGGAATAATTACATACATACAATCACCCAGACATGAATCGAGAACTAAACAGTAGCAACTGACTTTCCATCAATCGTGCATATTCACAACGGTAACATTGGTGATGCCTATTTTCGGTGTCCCTCGCCGAGATATTGCCCGAATGATGCTATAGGCGTACATCTACACTGACTCACTTAAATATTACTACTTATTTATAGATGCAGTATAGAAGTGCCAGTTCACACTACGAAAAGCTTATATCCTGGCTTAATATACTAAACCAAATTAAAAACTTCACAATCCTAAAATTTTAACATTTTGACCAGTTATCACTGTGGGCCCTTATTGTGTATTTAAACAGTAATGGCCACATATTGTCTTCAGATAACACCCGCTTTTGTGCAGGTGAATCGATCAAAATCATGTGCATAGCACTATAGTGGCAAAAGTGTTTTTTCACGTGCAACTGGTCACGTGACCATAATACCGCACGTGTTTCAGCAATACTTGTTAGCAGTCATTAACAAAAAAAGAAAAACACAAGAAAACAAACGTCTTGTCATGACACGCCTTTCAAATGTGCAACGTGAACGTGCCATCGGCATGTTGCAGACGGGAACGTCCGTAGCTGAAGTCGCAAGGACGATGGGTTGTAGTCGACGGACTGTTTATGATTTACAGACGCGTCTACAGCAAACGGTTACCACCGCTGGTCTCGGTCAGGTCGACCACGTGTGACGTCACATGCAGAGGATCGTCAGATTGTCTTACGTCACCTCCGTAACCGATTTTTGACGGCTACATCAACCAGAAATTAACTGTTTAGGGGTAGACTGAGTGCGCAAACTGTTCGAAACCGTCTGAGAACTGCTCACCTTCAAGCACGACGGCCATACTGCGGGCCTATTCTGACTCAATTACACAGACGTCAACGTCAATTGTTGGCACAGCGAAACTTACGATGGACTTGGAGGAATTGGAATCAAGTCGTCTTCAGTGATGAATCCCGATTTAATCTTCGATTTGCTGATGGTAGGGCGAAGGTGTGGAGTCGCCGTCATGAACGTTATGCCCAGTGTTGTGTACAGGAAGTTGACAGATTTCGAGGCGGAAGTGTCATGGTGTGGGGTGCTTTCTGTGGCAATGCACGTTCCAGGCTTCTTTTCATCCGTGGCAACCTCAACGCTGCTGCTTACCGCGACCAGGTACAGGCACCAGAACTTCTGCCTTTTATGGCAGCACATGGACCCGGTTTGATCTTCCAACACAGACCCGCCACAGCAATTTTGACAAGGAATTTCCTTCATATATGGGAATACTTTTAAAAATGTGAAGTTTTTAACTTGACTCAGTATACATCTCCCGAGGCAAGGCAGTTAACTGACCAGATACCACTTTTTTTGGCCTCGGGAAGATGGGCTAAACATTTGCCAACATTTACCTGATACATGCCACGTGACAAGACTTGTGACAAAACTGAATTGCTTCCAATCATGGTGTCAGCACCCTACAGAGATATCAAACATAAAACATTTGAACCATTTCATATGACTTCTGCCTATGACTCCCTGTGTATATAATGACTGACTGGCTGCACCATCTAACGGTAACAAAGTGTGGCATGGAATGAGGAGCGAGTAGCATGTCACTCTGCCTGGAACCATACGCAAGCAATACGTTTTCTTAATAGATTTGGCTTATATCAAACAACATATATGTGAACAGTTAATTATCTGTACTCATGTCAAACCCCGAGACAATCAAACATGTCTGGTCAAGACCTCCACTCATGTTGGATATTTTGGAATGCCATGATGATGTTGCTACTGGCCAATACCAAAGCGTTTGCTTGTGTTGGTTACCCAGCCATGATGGTAACCCTTGAGCTGATGTGGCTACTGGCCAATATGACAGCGTCTGCTTGTGTTGGTTACACATCCATGATGGTAACACTTGAGCTGATGTGGCTACTGGCCAATATGACAGCGTCTGCTTGTGTTGGTTACACAGCCATGATGGTAACACTCGAGCTGATGTGCCTACTGGCAAATGTGACAGCGTCTGCGTGTGTTGGTTACCCGGCCATGATGGTAACACTTGAGCTGATGTGGCTACTGGCCAATATGACAGCGTCTGCTTGTGTTGGTTACCCGGCCATGATGGTAACACTTGAGCTGATGTGGCTACTGGCCAATATGACAGCGTCTGCTTGTGTTGGTTACCCGGCCATGATGGTAACACTTGAGCTGATGTGGCTACTGGCCAATATGACAGTTGACCAAAGCACAGCGGAGGTCAGCGATGTCATGGAGCTGTAAAAATAGTTTCAAGTATATTATTCTCCATTAAAAGTAAGCAACAATTATATATCGCTGGCCAGTTACCATCTGGGCTGATGACCGACAGCAGGTAGGCAACTCTTACCGTCAGGCTCGATGTCCTGCAGCACGTAGGCGACTCATACCGTCTGGCTCGATGGCCGGCAGCACGTAGGCGACTCTTACCGTCAGGCTCGATGTCCTGCAGCACGTAGGCGACTCTTGCCGTCAGGCTCGATGACCTGCAGCAGGTAGGCGACTCTTACCGTCTGGCTCGATGACCTGCAGCAGGTAGGCGACTCTTACCGTCTGGCTCGATGACCTGCAGGAAGGAGGCGACTCTTACCATCTGGCTCGATGACCTGCAGCAAGGAGGCGATTCTTACCGTCTGGCTCGATGACCGGCAGCAGGGAGGCGATTCTTACCGTCTGGCTCGATGACCGGCAGCAGGTAGGCGACTCTTACCGTCTGGCTCGATGACCGGCAGCAGGTAGGCGACTCTTACAGTCTGGCTCGATGTCCTGAGCAGGTAGGGGACTCTTGACGTCTGGCTCGATGTCCTGCAGCAGGTAGGCGACTCTTACCGTCTGGCTCGATGTCCTGCAGCACGTAGGCGACTCTTACCATCTGGCTCGATGACCGGCAGCAGGTAGGCGACTCTTACCGTCAGGCTCAATGTCCTGCAGCAGGTAGGCGACTCTTACCGTCTGGCTCGATGACCGGCAGCAGGTAGGCGATTCTTACCATCTGGCTCGATGACCTGCAGCAGGTAGGCGACTCTTACCGTCAGGCTCGATGACCTGCAGGAAGGAGGCGACTCTTACCATCTGGCTCGATGACCTGCAGCAGGGAGGCGATTCTTACCGTCTGGCTCGATGACCGGCAGCAAGGAGGCGACTCTTACCGTCAGGCTCGATGACCTGCAGCAGGGAGGCGATTCTTACCGTCTGGCTCGATGACCGGCAGCAGGGAGGCGATTCTTACCGTCTGGCTCGATGACCGGCAGCAGGTAGGCGACTCTTACCGTCTGGCTCGATGACCGGCAGCAGGTAGGCGACTCTTACCGTCTGGCTCGATGTCCTGCAGCAGGTAGGCGACTCTTACCGTCTGGCTCGATGACCGGCAGCAGGTAGGCGACTCTTGACGTCTGGCTCGATGACCGGCAGCAGCTAGGCGACTCTTACCGTCTGGCTCGATGTCCTGCAGCAGGTAGGCGACTCTTACCGTCTGGCTCGATGTCCGGCAGCAAGGAGGCGACTCTTACCATCAGGCTCGATGACCTGCAGGAAGGAGGCGACTCTTACCATCAGGCTCGATGACCTGCAGCAGGGAGGCGATTCTTACCGTCTGGCTCGATGACCGGCAGCAAGGAGGCGATTCTTACCGTCTGGCTCGATGACCGGCAGCAGGGAGGCGATTCTTACAGTCTGGCTCGATGTCCTGCAGCAGGTAGGCGACTCTTACCGTCTGGCTCGATGTCCTGCAGCAGGTAGGCGACTCTTACAGTCTGGCTCGATGTCCTGCAGCAGGTAGGCGACTCTTACCGTCTGGCTCGATGTCCTGCAGCAGGGAGGCGACTCTTGACGTCTGGCTCGATGTCCTGCAGCAGGTAGGCGACTCTTGACGTCTGGCTCGATGTCCTGCAGCAGGTAGGCGACTCTTACCATCTGGCTCGATGACCGGCAGCAGGTAGGCGACTCTTGACGTCTGGCTCGATGTCCTGCAGCAGGGAGGCGACTCTTGACGTCTGGCTCGATGTCCTGCAGCAGGTAGGCGACTCTTACCATCTGGCTCGATGACCGGCAGCAGGTAGGCGACTCTTCCCATCTGGCTCGATGACCGGCAGCAGGTAAGCGACTCTTCCCATCTGGCTCGATGTCCTGCAGCAGGTAGGCGACTCTTACCATCTTGCTCGATGACCGGCAGCAAGGAGGCGACTCTTACCATCTGGCTCGATGTCCGGCAGCAGGTAGGCGACTCTTACCATCTGGCTCGATGACCTGCGGCAGGTAGGCGACTCTTACCATCTGGCTCGATGACCTGCAGCAGGTAGGCGACTCTTCCCATCTGGCTCGATGACCGGCAGCAGGTAAGCGACTCTTCCCATCTGGCTCGATGTCCTGCA